TGATGGTCACCTGCCACACTGTCATCAGGTTGTCTATGTACCGGGCAAGGAGAGTCTGGCCATCAGCAGACCAGGCCAGAGAGGCACACTGGGTGGCTCTGCCTTGTTGTTGGTACTGGTAACTTCTTGCTTCAATTCATCTACAATGATCTTGCCCTCTAAGTCACAGATCTTGAATCTGGGGTCTCACATCTCATATCTGTGCTAGCACAGGGAGAAAAGTGAGATAGTTTTGACTTCATTATCAATTATATTCTCAAATTTATTTGTCTTAAAATGAAATGCTTTCTATAAAAATAATCAATAAAAACAAATCCCCTGATAGGGTAAATGGAAGAATGATTTTCATTAATCATAGAGCAGACTGCTATTTCATAGCCACATTGTTACTTCTAAGACATTTTAAAAAAAAGATTCAGTCTTATTCATATAGACACTGATTTTTTTTAATTAAACCATAATTAAAAAAACAACAAGTGCTTTCTAGTATTAAGCTGCCTGCGCTCATCTTTTTATGACTCCAAAGAAAAAAAACAAACTTGCATGGATTAGACAATTACCTCAATGTTCTGAGCTGATAATGGCTTAGAATTCATTTAACATCCGACCAGAGTTTATTGAGATCCGCTGGACAGACAGTGCTCAACAAGGGGAGGGGAAGAGGGCAGGAGGGAGGTCCCTAGAAGTGTAAATCAATAACAATACAATGCAAGAACACACCCAATACCACAGGGATTACGATGATTAAGTGTCAGATGATCTGCACTGAATGCATCAGAAATTTAGAGAAAGGAGCACAAAGTGTCTGGGAGTGCAAAAGAATCGCAATCTGACTGAGCGGTGGCTAGGATGACATTCCACCTAGAGCAGGGACCTCAGCAAAAGGACAGAGCAAAATACACATGGGAGAGCGACTAGGTCCCTTTGAAGGGAGAGAAGGTATGTACCTGTATCTGTCAAAGTGTTTGGATTCTAAACCAAAACATATCTTCAAAATTTTAAAAGGGTAGAACAAATTTTATTGAGAGGAAACTGAAAGCCAAGATAAATGAAAAATGTTAGTAAGAAAATGTTAGATTACTTGAAACATAGACATCAGACCTTGAAAGGACCTTCAACTTCATCCGGTCCAAATGCCTTATTTCACAGAAGGGGAAATTTAAGCTAAAATAAAATAAAAACATGCTCATGCTCACTAAGATAGTAAATGGCAAAGCCAGAGCTAGAAACGAGTGTGGTGTCCTTCTCCCTACCCCCTTAATAAATTCAAATATTCAGACTTAGACAAATCACATCCCAGGTTGCGCAAAGAAGTCCCAGAACCATTGTCAATAATTTCTGAACAAGCATGGAGAATAGAAGAACTGTTGGCAGACAAGAGAAGAACAAAGTTGTCCTGATTCTCATGAAGGGGGAAAGGGGCATATTATAAAAACTATAAGCCAGTCAGCTTGACAATTATCCCTGGCAGAATTCTAGAACAGAATTTTAAAAAGCTATTTACTCCACAAACATTATTATAATAATAGAAACGAGGGGGGAAATAACCCACAATTTCACCACTTTAACCCATCAACTGAACAGATTGTTAAGTAGACTGTCAGTCTTTAGAAAAGCAAAGATCACTCAGAGCCAACCCGGAATCTCAGAAAACAAAACATGTCTTTATTTATCCCTTTCCTGATAGGGATATTAGACTGGTAAAAAGAAGAGGCACCAAATCCATACTTGCTTTCAGCATGGCTTTTGACAAGACGTATCATAATCACCTCGTGGATAGGACATGAACTGGCTGAGAGCCAGTGGGTACAACCGTGGCTGGGGCAAGAGCAAGACCTACAAAGTGCTGATTAGCTGCAGAGCAACTATGATGGTGAACCACGGAGAGCTCTCTTTTACCCCTCCCTAATAGTATTTTTGTTTGTGTCTTAAAGGAGAAGCTTATCAGATTTTCATTCGATGTGGAGAAGGAAGGATAGTTAATATGAGGGGATATTATTACTACTAATAATAATGACAGATGCTGGTTACTTGCTATGTGCTATGGATTGTGTTAAATAAACTTTCCCCACAAAATTATTACATGTAAATTGTACCTTCCTATAAGGCAGGCAGTATTATTTTCTCAATTTTAGAGATGAGGAAACGGATGTTTTAAGAGATCAAGTAATTTGCTCAAGATGACACAAGTCATAAGGGGAGGAACGAAATTCTAAATCGAGGTATGTCTGGCACCAGAGTCTGAACTAAACAATCCTAAGTAATTTTGACAGAACACAGCTATGAGCTTAAATCCACATGATATCTTAGGGCTTAACACGTGCATTTTAATTTTAAAAATTAATTAAACGTACAAAGATTGGGCTGATCTGATATACCCATCCATATGAATGACCTGGGAGTTTCAGTTGACCTAAAGGCTCCAAAGGGAAAATAATGAAGAGAGTTCATAAAATTTTGGCTTTATTAATAGACTCATAGTAATGAAATCAAGATAGCTAAGTTTGCTGGCAGTGCGATCAGAACACATTTTAAGACAAATCAGAAAATATTATCCAGATAGATCCAGAAACCATGCTATATGAAAAATAGATGAAGAAACAAATAGCATTTTAGCCTGAGAAGATCTAAAGCATGACATATTTAAGGAACATCATATTTTTAAAAAGGCAGAATGGGGATATGTGAGTGGAAGTTATAAAGAGCTACCACCTAAGGAAGGACTTTCTACCTATTGGAACTGCCTAGAAATATAATGAGCTGCTTCTGAGTGCTACTACAGGAGTTCAAACAGCCTGCATGAGCCCTTGGGAATGTGAAAGAAATTACCATGCTTGCGAAAAGGCAGGCAGAGGCGCTAGAAGGAAGGCCGAGGCATGTATGCTCCATTCCAAATCCAAAGATTCGAAAACTTAATTTAGATACGTATTAGCTTATCAGAACCCGGTTAATGGTTGCAGTTCAAACAGTGAATTATTCGTCAAATGATATAAAATAATCCTCAAACAGATCTAAATGTGTTAAAACAATATGGTTTGTGGGGAAGTAGGGGAGTTCCTATTTTAATTTCTAACTAATTTGAAGTTACCTGAATTTACAGCTGCATGATCTAACTAACTGGCAAAGACCCATTCCATATCAGAGTAAGAATCTAAAATGCATCACCTTCGGTGATAGTACCCAGTGAAGTCTCTTGGCCACTCATTTTTGTCTTTTGACACTGCATGCTAAAAGTTTTAGTTCATTATAAATACCTTTATTCCTCAATCTTGACCATTCGGTTGATTTAGGGTAAGGGAGTACCATTAGATTATTACTGCTCCAGAAAACTATTCTGACGTGTGCTTGACAAAAACTGATCTTTCCCATCCAGAAACAAAAGAATTCTCTGGCTTATTAATAGGCGGTTTGTGCTCACATCTTTTTTTAAAATCAGAGCCATTCTTTCCTGTGTGCCAGCGCCATCTAGTGGTGAAATAGGCACATTTTTCCAGTGGGGAAGAAAAACCCGGTTGGGGACAATTAATTAGGGATCACCATTCCTTTCTGCAGGATAATTGGAAGAAACCTTTGAGGGGAAAGGAAATATTTAATATCTTAAGATAATCCAACAAGGCCTTTCCCAAGATCCTATCCAGAGACATTTTCAGTTGAGTTTCCAGAAAGCATTAATCCGAGAGGCTAGGGCTGAAATTTTCCTAGATTAATGAAAGGAAATCCTCCCAGAACAAATGAAAATAAGTTAATTAAATGGGAGGGATCACAGTGACTTTTCCTTTCTATTTCCTTTCAGTATCAGTTCTAACTCATGGACGTTTATGACATGCAAAGGCATGTGATTAGACACCTGTGGAGATGCTCAGAAATAGCCTTAGGGAGTGGAAATGGCTCTGAAATGAAAGGATGAGATAGAAAAATGCATGAGGGTAAGAACTTAATTTTTTTAGGACAATGATTTTTGACAAGTCACTGCTTGGCAGATCTTGTGCAACTCCAAGCTGATCATGAGACTTGTCTTAAAATCATTCCATATTCAATCCTGGGCTATGAAGAGGAAGATATTATATGCATTCCTCTTCCAGTTTTAGGATTACTCAGGGTTGGGGATAATGTTAAGGATAATAATATAAAAATATTAGAAGCATGAGACAAGCATCCCAAAGGCTAAACGCAGATGGAGGGGGGTGAATTGGATAATGGCTAAGATCCCATTTCTCCTCTAGGAGTTTCTTACTCTGTGATTTGAGGCCATCCACAAGGTCAATAATGACTGTCTCTGTGTCAGGGCGACTGGCCCAAAGGACCCAGGGGTTGGCAGAGTGACAGACTGTCTCTTTAGTTCCACAGGTGAGTCAAAGCCAGGTGATCTGACCAGAGATCTGTTCATTCATTATTCTCAGCTGCTTCCTGTCCCTTGCATTCTTCAGATGGTTTACAATCTTGTCTTTACTTCACAATCTTGTCAAGTCTTACACATGGCTCTCTTTTCAGTCCCCTCCAGTCAATGAAAAGTTCCTCAAAGGCAGGGAATTTATATTTTGCCTCTTGTATCTCTGGGCATCTTGGCACTGACATATGAGCCCTGAATCTCACTTGTCTCATTATGACACCAAACCCTGGACTGTGAGATCTGGCATTGACCTTGGACATCACCTGGCTCCATTATCTCATCTTTTTGTGTGAAACTGGGGCCTCAAATGAGATGTGGCTTCCTAAATATCACTTAGCTAATGAGAGCTTGGATCAGCCCGAGACTCCTGACAGTCCTAGATGTTAGCATGGCATCTTAAGCTTCTCTCTCATAGGGCAGGAGACATGTGCCCCACCCAACCCCTCAGCTGGAAGAAGGCAGCCAGAAGCAAGAAACTTTCTAACAGCATGTGACTACTGCCTTCTCATGTATGTGAATTATTTCCTTCTACTCCATAATATATATATATTTGTTTTAACATTAAAATGTGAGATTATTTTCCTATTAAGGAAAATTGGTGCTAAAGGTATAGTGGGAAAAAGTCATTTATTTTCCTTGGCATAATGCTGTAAGCCTTGGAGTCAAAACAACGTTGTAACTTCGGTTGGAGTGCTTGGGGTTTAGCAATGGTGAACATCTTTCTGAGCGGATTCTGGGCCCCTGAAGCTGCGAAGAAGGAAAGAGGTCAGAAGGAAGGTAAGCAGGGAGGTGCAAGCCAACATCCTATTTATTTAGAAAATTGTTTTAACAGCTTTGTTAAGATATAATTCACATACCACCCAATTCCTCCATTGAAAGTGCATAATTCAATGGCTTTTAGAATACAAGTCTGTGAGCGAACAGGACACAGAGGGCACAAGAAGAGCTGGTGACTATCCTGTTACAGACACACCTCCAAATAGTGCCTTTTGGGGTAGAAGGAAAGGCAAATTATCTAGTTTTAAAATTCAATTGTGCTGTGTCCTCCCTCCTAGACCAAAGCACTGCTCCACTGTCCCCCAGCTTCCCCTCCCAACCTGAACCAAGGCTCCATCCATAGACATTTACTTGGGCAGAAGCAATAGACCCCAGTGATGAACTTGCCATAAAAAGCAGTTCTTGAACTGGCGAGAGAAGGGAGTAAAGGGCCAGAAGGGTGGGGGGTCATAAGTGGTAAAGCAGTGAGCAATACTCATTTTAAAACAAAACATAAATTGACCCTAGGGGAGTAATTGAATTCCAATTGCTACTTGGTGCAGAAGTAGAGGGTGGAAGCCACACTGAGAGTTGGCATAGGGGAGTGGTTAGGAGCACTGGCTCTGAAGACAGGCACCTAAGTTTGGATCTTTGCTCTTTGGCCAAGTAGAGGGTAGGTAATGAGTA